TTTGTTTTACTCACAACTTGCAGTTACTTTGAAATTTTAAACAAGAACATGAGATTTGTAGGCATCAGAAGAGGCTTAGGTTTTTAAAAAGTATGAGAAATACTATAAAGATCTTCAATTCAAGCATTATTCAAACAGTCTTGAGTTTAATTGGACTTGAACGCGTGGTAGACATTTCTTACACACGGATGTACCCAGGGACCACCGTATGACAGCTATAGGATATCTTCCTTGTGCTTCCAGTAAAGAAAGAAAGAGAGAAAGGAAACAGTCTGGTGCTGCTTCCTTCGTCTAACCCAAACATCTCTTAAGGACATCAGTGAAGAATGTCTACAGAACACGTTATCCTTCACGAACTTTCTCCATGAATACGCTTCCAATCAACTCTCCTAGGTAAACATGAACGTTTAGTTGCCACCTGAAGTAAAAATATACAAATTTTCTCACGCTAAAACCTGTCATGGACTAGAGCTTGGGTTTACTTCTAACATCAAAAAACTTCAGATATGTAACAGAGCGAAAGTATCGACAAGATAAAGAAACCAAAACAAATAAACCAATGAACCCCACAAAATCAAACTAAAGTATCTCCTGTTTTCTCATTTATAAACATCAGATCAAACACGTCAGACAATATCCACTGCGGCAGAAAACTCCCTGGCTGCTGTGGCCTAAGAAGCAACAGGCAAAGAAGTTTCCGTCCCGTAAATCAGTCACGTGTCTGACTCACCTCATCTCAGGGAGGAAGACTTTCTTATAGCTATCCTCAATGTCCTGCAGATAGGCAGAGGTGACCTTCATTTCATGTGGCTAAACAAAAGCAGAGAAATTAAACTGGGAAACATTTAGACTTCCATTTTCTTTGACCTGTGCATATATAAAATGTGAAGACAATCACTGAGCACTATTTTCTTACAACTCACATCGGGCACTGTAGGGACAGTGGGGTGACAGAACAGGGTGCCACAATCAGTTAGAATCCTTCGCCTCTACTACAGTGAACACCTGAGCCTGCCCAGGTGCTCCCACAGCGTGACTTTCTCCACACGTTCTAAGACGCGTACTTAAGGCAAGAAAGAGGCCTGCTATAAAGCAGCACTGTCCTTCCGTCTGCCTCATGCCTGAGTGCAAGAATGAAAGAGCACCAGAAATTGGGGACAGCGGCCTGTCTCTCCGCCGTCTGTCCTCAGCACACCTCTTGTCACCCGACTCTCCCTGCATCTCCAGCGTGCTCTCCACCTCCACCCATCTCCCTGCAACCACTTCCCCCACTTTCTATAGCTCTCGCCTCCCTCATCATCTGAAACGTGCTATGCCAATTTCAGAAACTTGAAATTCCAATTATGAGTGGCAAGTTTTAAAATTTAAAACTCCTTACAGTTGAACACTATCTTCTCGGCCCGTTTTATTTTCTTCATGTCATTTACCTCTATTTGATGTATTTCTTATCTCTCTCCTTGTTTGCTATCGGTCCCCCACCAGCACATAAGCTCCTGGCGAGGCCTCATCCACCCTGCTCGCCGGTATGCCCCAGCACCAGCAGCGTCCAGTACAGAGTGGATGCTCAGTAAACAAGGAAGGAATAAAGAAACGAACAGGCCTCTGTTTCAACTTACAAAACTATGAAAACATTCTAAAACTGGATTATCAAAAATCATTCAGCCGTACCCTTAAAATGGGTGAATTTTACAGAGTATAAATTATACTTTACTGAAGCTGTTCAAAGTAAGAAAAACCATATCATTCAGAGAATATGTCTCAACTCGTATTAATTCCAGTAATGAGATGGGACACAGGGAAAGGATGACACAGGCAATGTGGCACTTCATCATTCTGTCAAAAAGGGGAAAGACTGCAGTCGAGAGTTCTGCTTTCCAACAAGGACTTGACATCTGGGCAGAGGGCCTCTTTGTTCACCTTTGTAGCCTCCCAGTGCCTGGCACAGGTGCCTTACATATAGGAAGTGCTCTGTCTTAGGGGAGTGAGTGAATGAAATCAATAGCAGTATAAAAGAGTGCTATGATTCTAAATCTCTATCATTAACTATGTTCCAAGTAAGATAAGATTAAACGTTGACTGATTACAAAAGAAACTCTAGTGTAATACAAACACATAACAAGCAACATAACACAACCATCTCAGAAACCTGACCTGACCTTACTTGATGAAATGTTTAGTTATTATCACTTTGACTGATTTCTCAAAGTCTAGAAATGGTTTTTGGACATGCCCATCAGTTATTCCCAAAAGCTGCAATACTGAGACACAAGACTGCATTGAAATAAAAATCAAAGCAGGACGACAACTTACGGATAATACAGTGTCTCTTTTACAAAATGGGGTAATTTTAGCTGGTGATGCTATTTAAGACTTCACTCAGAAAAATTAAAAAGTTGAAGCTCTACTTTAGACCTCAGAATTATTTTTGAAATACTGTTTTCCCAGATAACAAAAGAATACCTAAAGAATGTTAAATATATGATTTTTCTCCATGTCAGCATAATAAGCAAATGTGCCCAAAGTTATTCCACTGAGAAATAAACATTTTTAACTTGCAGTTCCCTCCTTCTGCCGCTTGATGGAAGGTTCTCGGAAGTCTAACTGCACAACATACTTAAAAGCAAATGCTGAAGCAGTAACAGGTTCCGAGCGGCAAGAGAAAGGCACATACAGATGCCTCACTGTTTCTACCACTGCAAAACAGGGAAGGAAAGCTGGTCTCATGGATCTTTCAGGAGCAGCAAAAATTAACCAGAGCTAAGGCCAGCACAGTGGCTCGCTCCTCTAACCCCAGCAACTCTGGGAGGCTGAGGCAGGCAGATCACCTGAGGTCAGGACTGTGTTCCAGGTCAATCACAGTTCTAATGCTGACTAGACACGGCGTGTAACTGTGTTCCAGGTGGGTCACAGTCCAAGCGCTGACCGCACACCGTGTGTGACCGTGTTCCAGGCTGCAACCAGCCTGACCAACATGGAGAAACCTCGTCTCTACTAAAAATACAAAATTAGTCAGGCATGGTTGTACATGCATGTAATCCCAGCTACCCGGGGGGCTGAGGCAGGAGAATCGCTTGAACCTGGGAGGTGAGGGTTGCAGTGAGCTGAGATCACACCATTGCACTCTAGCCTGGGCAGGAAGAGCAAAACTATGTCTCAAAAAAAAACCAGAGCTTTACTGTTGCCCTTATAAGAACCCACCATTCAGAAAGGTATTTACTGAGCACCTACAAGAATTCCAGCACAGAGGATGGGCACCAGAATGAGGAACACGCAGGCAGCCCTTCATTTTCATCACAATATCGAAAAGGAGATCAGATTCTCCTCCGGAAAAAACAACACAGTATTAAACAAGAATGGGACACAGGGCAAAGATGGTCTTTGTTTCATCTCAGGATCCTCCATCAGGCTGCCAACAGAGCTACCCACGGCCACAGGGTCACTTCAGAAGGCCTTGTTTCAAGGCCACCTAACTAAGGTCTAACAAAAACTACAAACAGTAAACGGACGCATGCGGAGATCACTGCTCTGCTGCTCTGATGACGAAGGTTATTAGAAATCGCTTTCAATGTGTTAAAAAATGGTAAGACACAAAAACCTCATCAGAGAACAGAAAGTACATGACAAAGGGATGGAGGACGCTCTGCCAGGAGGCCCCCCACAGCCTCCCAAGAACAGTAGGGGGGACTCAGAGACAGTAGCGGGCCACAGAGCACTGGTAGGCAGCAGATCTGCAGGTGGTGGCACCAGGCTGAGCCCTGGGGTCTCCCCTCCACCCCTGCAGACGCCCTCTGTCAGGTGGGACCAGGATGCATGTCACTCCTCCTAGTGAGGACTAGTAGGAATTAGTATGCTATTAAAACAGGACTTTTAGCTCTGATCGACATCAGAAATAGGCTTGGCCTTTGATTGAAAAATGGCATTACATCTCCCTTCTTCTGAATCCGACGCTGGATCTCTGGAACCGGCACATCCAGGTAGATCACCAAGTGAGGAGGCAGGTAATCGCAGATGGTGATCTTCTTCACCTCGTTGTAGTGCTCCACACCTGGCACACACAGAAGAAAGGGGCATTGTCACCTAACAGTCCCCATGCAGGCTTCTAAAACATGCTCCTCCTTGAACAAAAGGGCAAAGAGACATGCAATTCTCAGAGCCACGTACCAATCTACAAATCATATCACGGTCACCGTTCTAAGCACTGACCACACATGGCACGTGACTGTGTTCCAGGTGGGTCACAGTTCTAAGCACTAAGTTTTGCTTCTGAGGCAAGGTATAGGTCCCACAAGATGAAAGACACAGTTCAGTGATCTTTGAACTGAAATACATTCCATATACCTGCAGTATGTATATTTCTTCATAGTAATAACAGATAAAAGAGTCTAGTCTTTTCTATAGAAAAATACTTTAGTTTTCAAATAACTCAGCTAAAAATCTTCAAGCTACATTTATCCAGATTCAGTAAGTATAATCAGCTATACGGAAGTATGTACTGAGTCAGATTTAATGACAACATGAAACTGAAGGCAGCTAAGGCTGCGGAATAATTCTCCTGAAGTGACCACCACACAGAATGCATAATGCTGCCTAAGGGAACCCTGCTGCTCTGCAGAGCACTCTACACCTGCACGTGCTCACGCACACACCCGACCTCCTGGAAGCCTGCAGGGAGCGCACGTCAGTGCGAGTGGAGAGGCCTGTCAAGAAGCCATCCCCTGTGTAGCACGTCACATGGTGGAACCTTCCAGAAGTGACAAGCAGGCGGCCACGCTAGGGTCAACAGAAAGACAACTATTTTGCTTTAAAGGAAATGGGCTGGGAACAGTGGCTCACGCCTGTCATCCTAGCACTTTGGGAGGCTGAGGTGGGCACAGATTGTTGGAGTCCAGGAGTTCAGGACCAGCCTGGACAGCTTTGGTGAAATCCTGTCTCTACCAAAAATACAAATATTAGCCAGTCTCATAACCCAGTCTCAAAATAAATAAACAAATGAATGAATAAAAATTTTAAAAATTAAAATTAAATTTTAAAAAAGGTTCAGTGAGTATTCCTAGTAACCTCACTCTAGAGGCAATGGTGAGATGGGCCTGCTCAGGGTCAGGGACGGCATGACTAGAAGAACAAGACCGCCAGGAGGAGGTGTGACAAAGGGAAGGGCCTGGGCTGCCAGTGGGTGCCGTCCACCTGGGCCTACAAACACAAGCCCACGTCCAGGCAGAGCACACCGGGCCTCGGGTCTGCTTCCTGACAGCTGGGCTGCTAGTACGCCGGTCTCTCCCCAGACTGAGACCAAGTCTCACCCTCATCCCTGCCCTCACCCTTACTCCCGTTGGCACACCACTTCTCAGATGGTTCCCGCCATGCTCTGTGCCACCTGTCCTTTAGCCAACATGATCTGCGTCCCCCAGCCCAGCACTGAAACGACTCTGGCTAACGTCATCAGCCCCTGAAAGGAGAAATGTGGCAGTCACTTCTCCCTGGGGGTTCCACTTCTGGACCTCCCACGCCTGAAGACAAGAATGCCCACGGTCACGGCTGGACCCCCAACGCCTGAGGACAAGAATGCCCACGGTCAGGGCTGGACCCCCCCAAGCCTGAAGACAAGAATACCCACGGTCAGGGCTGGACCCCCCCACGCCTGAAGACAATACCCACGGTCAGGGCTGGACCCCTCCACGCCTGAAGACAAGAATACCCACGGTCAGGGCTGGACCCCCCCACGCCTGAAGACAATACCCACGGTCAGGGCTGGACCCCCCCACGCCTGAAGACAAGAATACCCACGGTCAGGGCTGGACCTCCCAACGCCTGAAGACAATACCCACGGTCAGGGCTGGACCCCCCCACACCTGAAGACAAGAATGCCCATGGTCAGGGCTGGACACCCCCACGCCTGCAAACCACCTGCAACCCAGGCCAGTCCTCAGACTTCAGCAGACATCCAACAGATGCCAACAGGTGTCTCCTGCTCCATGTCATGGGAACGTCACACTCAGGAATCCAACACCCACAGATGAAGCTGCCTCAGTCCACTGCCCTGTGCGTCATTCTCCCTTACCAGCCCACCAGCCAGGGCAGGTCCATGCGACTCCCCACTGTGCACACAGGAAGCCACCCACCCACCCGGGCCTGCCCAGTGCCCCTCCTGAGCAGCAACTCCCACTGTGCAGCCTCCCTGCTGGACGCACCTGTTCCACCCCAACTTCCTACCAGACAGCCTCCTTCCCTTTCCGTCTCTCCTCACCAGATGCATCCTTCAGATGGAGGCCTGAAACCATTTTAAACTCATCTAACCCTGTCCCTGCCATGCTAAAAATCCTCCAGTGATCACTCACTAGTTTCAGGACAAAAGCCAAGCACCCTTGCCAAGGCGCAGCCCTTTCCTCGTGCGGCCTCATCCAGCAGCATCTCCCCCAGCATGAGCCCTCCCCACAGAACATGCACAGGCTCCTCCGCCAACCCTACACGTCCCTCACTCCCAGTGCACTCCGGGTGACTCACCAGAAGGCCACTTGTCAAAACAGCTGCCCTGACACACCCCTCCCATCTCCCAGCCTCAACATTTCTCCCACATGCCCGCACAGAACCCGGGAGGAATGCACAGGGGCTGCTAAGTACACTTTCTTGCAATTAACCATCTCCACTGGTTTAAGAGCCCCCAACCCTGGGCCTGTGGGAGCCCTGTCTTAAGTTCCTTCTTATTCATATCCCTAGCACCTAAGGGAGCCTGGCACGCCGCAGGCACTCCAGAAACACTGGCTGGTGACCTGACCCGCTGCCCAGCATGTCCAGGGAGGATCAGCCCCTATGAGAAGCAAGGGCTGGCACTGCTCTTGTGGGCCACAAGCTCACAGGTGGAGTACCCCTCCGCAGAACCGTTGCCTGGCTTGCTTCGGCCTCCCCTTTCAGGAGCCAAGAGCACTGACTCTGAGCTCCCAGATTCCAGGTGCCTGCCGGCTCCAGTCACCCCAGTCTATAGATGAAATGCCATCAGTCAGACTGTCCGCCAGGCCTATTCGACGCACTGCCCAGCACAGTCCTAGTCACACATCCCAACCCTACCCTGGCTCCTCAAGGTCAGCCTGCTTCAAACCCGGGGGTTCTTCATTCCTTTCCATCTGCCACTTGTCAGACCTTCCCCAGTACGGGAACACAAACCTACTGTCCTAAAAAACAGCAACGTGTCAGAGGGAAGGACATGATGATGCAGAAACTGGAGCGTTGGTTATAATTACAGCACGGGTCCAGGAAGAACAGCAGAGGTGTCACTAGGGCAAGCTGAGAGTGGGGACGGCAGCTCTTGTGGGGGGAAGACTGCGGGGGCTGCAGTTTAAGCCGTGTGTGTTTGAGGTCCGGGGCTCCGATCTGCTTTCACAGGGAGACATGATATTGTAGGAGGGAGGAAGGGTAGAAGACACCTCAGGAAGTCCCTTTCTCCAGTGGAGACTGATGCAGTAATGGTATCTATTCATCTACTTCACAGACACGCACAAACACAGTAAGTGCAAGGTGAGTCCGTCACAGCCTTTGCAAAGTCACACCACACACCCACAAGACTATCTGCAACCCCAACTCACACTGCTTTCGGATGTACCCCTGGTTGTACATGGCGTCCAGGAACACAAAGTCACTGAAGATGGAGCGCTCCAACACAACACCTTGTCCTGTTTAAAAGCAGGTGAACAGAAATTGAAAATCAGACAGCAATGCACTGGAGGCTAATCCCTGCATGGCAGAAAAAAGAAAATAATGGTCATTTACAATTTTATTTCCACACCAAATGTACAGAGAAGAACAAATTCATATTCACAAGTGGGAAATCATTTTCAAAATCTAAAATATCTTTTCAGTTTTGAGCAATATAACATTGTTTCATTCAGTCACCTAAACCAAAGCATCCAGTTAATACAAAAAGTGCTTTGTTTTTAAATAATGTATTCCACCCCTACCGAGCCCACCCCATCCTCCTCCCACCCTCCCACTCCAGCCAGCTCTCCTGATGCTGGGCCGCTTCTCACTCCCACCCACCCCCAGCCTCGCTTGCTGTACTACGGTCACAGCAGCCCTGAAGGACACTCATGCGGCACACAGCACCAGCCCCCGGGTCCCCGGCCAGCCTCCCTGCAGTCAGCTCTGCTAGGCAGAGGCCTCCCTCATCGTCCTACCCAGCCTCTCCCCGTGGCCGCAACCTCAGAGCACCTGCCACATATGTGGGACAACACACTCGTGTCCACATCAAGTCTTCATCCCCTACTAAACACAAGCTTCACCCCTACTGAACACAAGCTTCACCCCTACTAAACACAAGCTTCACCCCTACTAAACACAAGCTTCACCCCTACTGAACACAAGCTTCACCCCTACTGAAC